CCCCTGCACTTCCTTTATATATTATATGCTTTATATAAAGCTTCAGTTTTGACGACTTCAGCCACGGGTTCTGTGCCGTTGAGTCGTCTCATGCCAATGAGCTTCAGCGCTCGTATTAAAACCAACAGAGAGAATTAGACGACGTGTTCTGCTAATACGGTATAACAACAAAAATGTAATCCCACACTTGACTAATACCTTATAAAAGTTGTTATACAAGCAGAACCACTGGTTGATGAGTCACCCTGAATTCAAATATATATATATATCTCAATGTTACTTTAAAGATCTATGTGGTTTAGATCTTTAAAGTAACACGTTAATTAAAAAGTACTTTTATGAGGATTTTGTGGTGAGTCATTAAGTTGAGAGTTAAGACATGGAGATCATACTTTGAAGAGGAAGCGTAAATAGATAATGACTCAGCTTAGAGATATTGTTAGTATATAAAGGGTGATGACACTATAACAAATTTTAAAAAGTGCTGAAGAGTTTTTCATACAAGAACATTGCTGTTATTGGCCAATGTGATGTTCAGTGGCCTACTGTCATTTCTTCTTTGATAAAGCCACCATGTCAGATAAAAAAGGACGACTTACTGGCATGGTCTGGCTGCCATGGAGGGCACTGATCGCAGACTGAGCCTCGGTGTGCGTAGAAAATTTGACAAAGGCGCAACCTGAAAAAGAGGAAAAAAAGTTTATGTACACACACACACACACATATACAGTATGAACACAGTGAGAAAGAGCATTGGAGTGAATGGAGATGAAACCCTAACATGGCTGTTGAATTATATTTGAATCTACTGAAAACACTGTGCAGTGTGTGGCTGTCATCACACAGCAGGCTGCTCCACTTTGGGCATCAGACAGACTGAGGAGCAGGCAGAAGCTTCAGGCTAAACATTGCATTGATGAAGCAGAAAAAAACATGCTATTTAGCACCACATGCCTGTCTCTGCATGTTAACTACTACTCAAATCCCTTTTTTGTATATATTTTTTTTAAGATTAGGATCAAACCCATTTGGGAATTCAGTCATTTTTATCTGCCCTCCGAGAGAAGGTTTTGATCACTCCAGATCGTACATGTTTGATTTTTTTCTCTCAAAATTAAAGTCATAATTTAAATAATTTGGTGACACAAAGACCAACTAAGGAGACTGCACTGGAACACACACAGACCAACTATAATGTATGAAGAGCCACTTCACCCCACAGTCTACAGCTTTGAACGTCTCTACAATTTATCAAACCACATTCCTTCACCAATTATCATAACTCATGGGTTCCCAACCCCTGGTCCGGGGAGCGGTATCGGTCCGTAGCTCATTAGTACTGGGCCACAGTGGGACACAGTGAAAAAATGTACTTCAGTTTTACTAATTTACTTCATTAAAAAAGAATCCAGTCATTCAGACTCCAATACTAACGGAATAAAGTCTAAAAGATGTTTGATTTAATGATCCTTCAACGATGGAGCGGTATTACTGATCGACAGTAACGACCGATACCAGGTACAATAAAGGTTGGGCATCGGTGCCATGACAGACTGACTCTGAGCTTGTGCTGCTACAACTGCTATAAATGCTATCTGCCATCTTCTTTTCTAATTATACCACATTTTACCAACATTTATTTTGTTTAACATTTCCATTTGACTCCTGTTTAATCTTTTACACCTTATTCTTCTTATCATCCCCCCTGCTCCACCCAGCTGTCATACCATTATTCCCCTCCTAATGGGCTTATCCTTACAGGCACTGGTGAGTCAAGATGCCCATTCAGCTGTAAATCACTGGCCCCATTCAGATATGGGCAGGAAAGGGCTGCAGCTCTGAGTGACCTGTACCAGGTCCTTGGACAGTACTACAAACAATACGCTGCTATAAATAGGTATTTGTTCACTCATGTACTGACACAGGAAGTTGTATTAAAGTTATATTGTTGATTAATAAAATAATCCAGGATTTCCTTTAAAATTAAAAACAAACAGTGATTGAACAATGTCTAATTGACCAATCTAAAGCCCTCATTTTAAAGAAGGCATTTCCTGTTCATAGACACTCTAAGGAACAAATATTTAAAGTTGTGGTTATCATTTACCTATAATTGTGACACTGTAATAGTACAATTTTCATTTATTTTCTTTTTTATAAATTTGTTAGAGACAATAGAAAATGACCTGCAACTGAAGAATTTAAATTATTGATGTGAAGTAATTCCTTTGAATAGACTTCCTGTTGGCATTTTACAACCAATTATTCTCATATGGCCAAACCTTAATGAACACAATAAAAAAAATCCCTAAAAACTACAAAAATGACTCATAACTAACGACATGGGCTTGAACAGTGGAGTGTCATCATTGTTTTGTTTGTAATTAGATAAAAATACAACTTGACCCACATCTGACATGTGTGTCACATGTATTCAACATATCCTCAGCTGTCTTCAACACTCACACATGCTGTCACTGTTCTGTCAGTGACCCAAATAATGGTGACGGGCGTATTGTCACACCTACCTTTGCTGTTTCCATCAGGGCCTCTTAGGACTGTGCACTCCTCGATAACGCCATAGGGTTCAAAGAGGCGGTAAACATCTTCCTCAGTCTGTTGTTTGTTCAGCATCCCCACAAACAACTTCCTGTCTTCTAGAACAAACAACGAGACAAAGGGATTAATTAAAAAGCAAGGAGATTTACAAGAGCCAAGCTCGTCAGATTAGGATACAAGTGTTTTCAACGTCTGTTGGGTGTAAACAGAAATAAATGACAATCACAAATACTGATGCGGCAGAGAAACAGTTGATCTGGTTGTGTGGTGCTGGTTGACCTGGAGACCCATTGTATGATCTGTTCTAGGAGTCTGGTCATTTTAATCTCCAGCATAAACAGGTTTATTCCCGTAGGAGCACACACACACACACACACACACACACACACACACTAACTGCTGATAGCCAGTGAGTGGTCGGCTGCTGAAAGGAAAGAACGAGGAAGACTAATGAAGAGTTTTCACACAAACACGCGCGCACACACACACACAAAAGAAGACAGGGAGCACGGCTTGGGTCATTTAAAAACATCAGGGGCTCCAGGCAGCACAGCCCTCCTACACACAGCAACACATGGCTTCTACTTACTCTTTCACTCACTCTTTTACACACTATTCCCTTGTTCTCCCTGTAGCATTTTTGCTCTTTTTCTCCCCCCTCTCTCTTTCTCACCCTCTCTCTTTTCATCTGTCTCTTCTCCTTCTCTCCTCATTTTTCCTTTTCTGTCGCTGATTCTACATTTTTGCCCCCCTTCATTTTTTTTCAGCTGCTTCCCTCCCTCCCTCTCTCCCTCCTTCAGTTCCTCTCTTTATCTTTCTCTTACTCTACTAATTGCTGCTGATCCAGTGTTTTCTGCGTAGCCCGAGAAATATTTCAGCGAGCTCCTCTGTGAACAATGGCGAGTCTCTCCTGTGAGCGGCGACGACTGGGAGACATGCCATGAATAACGCTGACTTTTCAATAGATAGCCTGCATGCTATTGAGTCCTGTTAAATGCTGTGGGATCTGATCTTTACCTTGACCTGACATACTGTGTTTACTGATGTGCCGCGGCCTTGTATGATTAATGCTAGTGTGCGGCGTGTCTAAGGCGGGGAGGCAGAGGAGACGTTCAACCCTTCCTCTGTCTCCAGCCACTAACCTACAAAGTCACAGTGGAGAGTTTCAGTGAGAAAGAGGACTGTTGGTCACTGCCCGCTGCTGCCATAAATCACCGGCACAATGTCAGACTGACCTGCGATAACTACCGAGTGCGTTGCAGTGCCTCCTTTTTTGACCTGGACACAAGATGATAGCCTCATCTCTACGGTGGGCACGGAGGTGGCTGTGTGCAGACATGGCACCCAGCTACTTCAGCACTCAGCAACACCAATAATGCTCTTTTAAAATAATCTCCTGTGTCAGAGCGTTGTCTAGGGAGGAGCGTCCCTGGTGCTGGCTCCTTATTGCAAGTGGCAGGATCAGAGGCAATGTATCAAAATGGAAGTGATGCCATGTGACATCTGTCATGGTGGATTGGAGAGCATTTATCTGCAAAAAAGAAAAGCCCTGAACTGGAAAATGAAAGGCCAAGATGGTCCTTCCTTTGCTGGAGGGAGAATATAAATTCTGAGATTAGATGGGGGAGATGAATCAAGGAAAAGGGGGGGATGGGGAAGGCTGGACTGTACGGATCTCAGCCATGCTGCCAGACCACATCTCATGTATGGAGTCACAGAGAACCACGGACATTTTCTGCCTCCTGCCTTGCCCTCCGCTGTCTTGTTTGACTTAATGTATGTCACTTATCAATTTCAAATGAGCCGTACTTCAGTGATCACACCATGTTCTAACACAGGCTGTAATATTACAGAAATCATTCATCTGAAACGCCGCCCAATGACACGACAGCTGATGAAGAACACAGTTAAAGAAACGCACTAAGGTAAATATTCTTTATCTTTAATGTCATAATATTCCCATTTAAAACTTAAAACTCTGCACAAAAATGATGAAGATTAACAATAAAAAAGCAGTAACATTTTGTTCATAATGTGGGAATGGGAGACAGAGACGGAGAGAGAATTAGTGCATTTGAAGGATGAGCTTTGAAAACAAGCTAACCATGCATGAAAACAGATCATCAAGGAGATCTTGTTTCACAATCCAAGATTCTGCTGTGGATGCTCTCAAATAAAATGCTGCCTTGGGAATCCAGGTCCCGTGTTCATTACCAACAGAAACATAATCTCATTTATCTACAACACTGACGCACGGAAAATATCAACGTTTACAGCACGTTATGTTAAATGTAAAAAATTGAAGGAAGTTTAGCTGATAAAGTTGGCATAGAAACAGTAAGATGAAAGACGGCCCTGATAAACATCTCCTGACTGTATTGGCTTTTCCATCAGGGTGGCTATTATTTAAATGAATATGCGACTCTTTATCCTGCCTTACAGATGCTTGGCGCTGCCTGTTCAACCAATGACATGTCTCTGAATTTTTGATAATATTGTCGTTGCCAGTACAAACTTTTAATAGGTCATCAGAGACAGTAAATCACACAAAGGCTGTGATTTTAGAACAAACCACGCCCGACGTCTTCACCGTAAAGACTGATCTTAATCCAAAACCAAAATAACATTCACACGTACAGTGATGTTTAGAGGATAATCAAATAAATCCAGACTTTGTAGCCACACATACTGATTGTTTCCCTGCATTTCCACCTTAAATCATGTAGATTTATTCCTTTTTCTAGATACTTATCAGGGACAATTATTGCCCCCTACCTGCAGAGATTAATACTGTTTTAAGTGTTTCTGACTGAAACTAAAACAAACACTGAAATGTATTTATATACTGTAGAGTGGATGATCACTAACACGCTTTTATTATTATTTATTTTAATAATATTTTATATGGATATTTGTGCCCATTTAATGTTAAGGTATCAATTTGAATGTGTGAACTCATGTTATTGTAGTATGAGTCGTTATATAACACAGGCTAGAGCTCTTGATAAAAATGGAACATGTTCAAAAAGGATGTATAAAATAATGACACAGGCTGCGACTGTTTTCCTCCAATGTCTGTGTGAGCTCTTATTCACATGTACAGGTAAAACCAAACATATCCGCTGCCCTGGCTGCATTTAACCTTGTCTTTGTAGGGGATGACAAAATGTTTCTGATTGAATCATGTTGTTAGCTCAGTGAACTGAACAGTCAGTCTCACACTGAACATGATTGGTAGTGAAGGCTCTTGTGGATGACTCTTTTCTTTTTCTTTTGCAGTCTTCGGAAACAGCTGAATTGCTTTTCTGCTGCTTTAAGGTGAGTGACTTTTACTGTTTATGTATGTTAAAACCAAGGCCCGAGGGCCATATCTGGTCCACGGCATATATTTAGAATAACATCTTATATTATCTTTGGTCAAATATATATATGGCAACCCAATCAACAGAACACCAGCCTGTTACTGTACAACTTTTCGTTACTCTATTACAGTGGTCCTCAATTTAATTTCTGTCATGCCCCCCCCCCTTTGAGGACAGAAATGTTTTCACGGCCCCTGCACTCCCACCCTCTCTAACCCACAACCCTGTGAATTGAAATATTATTGAGAACCTGATAACGTATATTTTTATCTGTACAAAACAACTGTATCAGTTGCTGCCACCTAGTGACCGGAGGTTTGTTATCATTCAAGCATTGAGTACAAGCAGTGGTAGGTACCATATTACATTGGAAGCCCCTCGCACCTCACTGCGCCCCTCCAGGGGGCCCTGCCCCACTATTTGAGAACACTGCTGTATTATGAAGCTTATTCTCACAGCAAACCTCCCATATAAAGAACAAGCAGTGCATTATAATAAAACCCATACAGCTGCGTCCATGTTTCTGCATGTTTAAATCATGTTCCATCACAAAGAACACAGAGAGAGTAAGCTAGCCGGTGGAGCCGGGGAGGAGTGACTTGTTTTTATCCATTAAAACACAGCCGAGACAACATTAATGCAAGCTTCGATGAGAGCAGATTGCTGCTTTATTGTTTACAGTGAAGTGCCATCACCTAAACAATTCAAGGGTCTAATAACTGCAGGCGAGTTAAGTGCGATAACTGCGGAGCATGCTGGCATACAAATGTATTTACAGCTCACTGTGCCATTACTGCATCCAACTTTATTGGCACACATCACTGCTGGCTTGTAACTCGTTACCCATCATGTTTAATTTACTTTAAGGTATAAAGCAGATGTTTGTCTGGTAAATATATTTAAAAAAAAAAAAAAGCTCCAGCTACAATTGCTGTATGCTGACCAGTTATACACTCCCTGAGTGACTTTGAATACACAAGGTGACGTTAATGTGGCAACAAAACAATTTACAACAAGTGAAGAGGAATTCTGTTGCACACACTGCACATAGCACTGGTACACCGGAGACTTCTCTGAGTTTATAGTCCACAATCACTGCAGACTGTTGACAGCAGAATAAGACATTGTGAAATGTGGTGGAGGATTTGGAGTAACACCAGGAATGGGAAAGAGAGCACGATGATGTGAGTACTATGGTGGAAAAAAGGATGAATGGACGGAGATTGATTGAATGACTGACCGTGATACGTATAGCTGAAGTATTTACAAACAAGCCCACCAAACCAGTTAGTAAGTCACCGTCAGGCTAAAACGATGATACTGAAATACAACAGAGGAAATAGAGTGAAAGAGGAAGGATTATGAAAGCGAGTGAGAGGGATGAAGAAAAGCCAACTAACTGCCTTAGGTGGTCTCTAGTTTTCAAATGTCCCTTCTCCGTCTCCTAACAGCAAGAGAGTGGAGATGGAGGGAGGGAGAGAGACATTGTGACAGAGGGCGAAAGTGCACTATAGAGAAAAAGTACTTGTCAGAAAGATGGCAAGGTTGCTATGACAACTACTTATACAGCAGGCTGACAGTCGTGTTTCATTGGAGTTTGTAGAGGAGGAGAGGAATGAAGAGGGGAGACGGGCTTGGGAAGGAGGGGTTGGAGAAGGGTCATTTCTCCATCTGTCTACTGAGCCAGTTTGCAAATTTAACTGTCAGGGTTGAAGATAAGAACAAATTATGAACAATATTAGCTGGCTGATGAAAAAGAAACAATAATGAATTGATCAGTATGTTAATAGTAAATAAGATGGCATCCAGGCAGAACATGAGCCACGAGTGAAAGGAGGCCCCGCCAGGTTTTCTTTTTTTTTTTTTTTTTTCATTTGGAGAAGATAAAAACTGAGACGGGATCTGAGGTGGGAGAGGATTCCTCACATTAGAGCTCTGTAGCACACTTCCTTGTCTAAATGCTGCAGGGTAGAAAGGATCAAAATCACTTGGCGGCTGGAATACCAAACATTGTGGCTTCCTCTCCCTTCCTCACAAGCCCATTATACTTCTCCAATGAGCAGGATGTCACACAATAACAGTGTCAGCATGTGTTCAAGCATAGAAAACACAGGCAGAACGGAATGAAATTAATTAACCCTGAGAGATCGCGGTGCTTTGCAAGTGGAATTTATTCCAATTTATTACTTATAGGGAACTAACTGGGGCTGTGTTTGCATTAATTAGACAATGTGTAAAAAAAAAACAAAAAAAAAAAAAAAAACAGTATGTAAGGGTTATGTGTATGTACAACATACACCGGAGAACAGCATGTGCAGTCAGTTACATAAAGACATTCTGGGGTCGTCCCTTCTATCTTGTGTGCACAGTAAGGGTTCTGCGCCCGGACCATTGCTGGGGGGAAACAGGGGTTTAACAAAAGTGAAGAGCAGAACAATAGGCTTTCATCTTCCGGTCCGGAGAACAGTTGTATGTGGGTGTCATAATGATGAAGCCACCTTCAGACATAGGCCAGTTCGTAGATTCTACCAGTGCCCCCTTGGCTGAGGAAGACAGGGGGAGACACCAGAGGGTGAGGGGGTCTGTTTAAATGAGCACTTCTCTGCAGCTGTCTTTTGAATTTTGCATGCTAACAGACCAAGTTGACGGCACAAATCACAAGCCCTACCATGCACTGCGTCTATAATGAGGTAGCTTATTAGCACTGATATCTTCACAACTTCAGAGCTGTTGCTTGGAAACAACATTACAAATAAAACAATGCTGTTGTTCTCACCTTAAGGCCACAGTGACAGAGCTCTGTGTGTGCATCACTGCAGCCACTGGCTTCAGCTGAAACATATCACTGAAAATATGTATCAATGAATTATGAATGAATGTTATACATACAGTATGCCATTATTCGATGTATGTTGTATTTTCAAGTAATGGCTTAGTGTAGCTCTAGCATGTTTCCCTAATCAGCAGCCACAGCACCTGCAACCACCTGCATCAGTGCCTCCAGCGTGGCCTACAGTGACACTGGCCTGATTTCATGTCAGAGTTTCATCACTTTGGTGTCAAGGCTGCTCTTTGGCAGCTCGGCTACAGCCCATAAAAGTCATGAGTAAAAATGCCATACAGAGCTGCATTTAAGGCCTTGATGAACAAGCTGCAGAAATGCCACATCCCTCATAGAGGACTCCTCAGGGGTGAATTGGAGTTGCTGAGCTCACAATCGTGTGCTTTGAGTCTTTAAACTTTTTTTGCCTCTTTGACATGCCTTTTTGAAAAGTTGAAAATAACTTTTAAGCCAATACTTCAGTGTTCTTAGACTTAAAATGCCCACTTAAAAAAAATGCCCAAACACTTCATGATTTTTCATTAAATATGACATTTTTTAACATACTATTACTTTGCATAAAAACAACAATCAGAGACTATGTTAGTATGTTCGTACTAGTCCGGCCCACTTGACATCTAACTTGAATTTTGAAAGTGAAAAAAATGCCCAAACGTGGCAGGCAAAAAGATAGAATACATAACACCAGGCAGGTCAGATCTTTACTCTGTTTAATTTAGACCTCACTTCCTGTGTGCTTTTAAGGTTTTGGTTAATGGATTGGATTGGGAAATCATAGCTTCTCTGAGCAAAAAAAACGTGAACATGTGCAAAATGCAAACAAAATAACAGCATCTTTTAAAAAGTCTTTATAGTGCTTATATTTTTTTTACCAGGCCACGTAGATTAAGACCAAATCCTTATTAATGGCCTGATAAAATGTCTATGAGACAAGACAATAAAAAAAAAGCTGTTTAATTAATTAAACACAATACACAACAAAATCCTTGATGAAGAAACTGTAAGACTGTACACAGACACAATAAGCTAATAGTCTGAGATACGGCAGCATTTATCCTTTAAAAGGTCTATGATAAAAGCTGTAGAAGCCCCCACCTCCCCCACCCCCTTGAAGATGAAAGCATTCAGTTTTAGAGATTTATGTAAGTCATCCAATCTCTGGCTTTAGCTGACTAAAATGAAAACAAACCTGATGCAAAATATGTTTTGATGCTGTCAACGGAATGCTTGTTGTAGGCAGAGGAAGAAATGGGCAACAATTGATGGAGGTAAGGGAAGTGGGGCGACGGATGGATTTTACTTTATGGTTTGGCAAGGACAAGACAGGAGTGTTGTCCAGCCAAATTCCAAAATATTTATACCTAGAACCTGTTCTACAATTGTTCCATAAAGAGGAAATACATGGGGTTTTAAAAGAGAACAGCGCCACCTGCCAAATCTCGTAACTTTAGTCTTAAATGCAGCTCATGGAGGGCATGCTGGAGTCAACTGGAGACTAAAGTTTAGGTGAATGTATCATCAGCATAAATTGATAGAATAATCTACTACGGTATTTACTGCATTGTTTATGTGAGTAGAGAATAGTGTGGGTCAGAGGAATGATCTCTGTGGAACACCACAGAACACCTTCTCTCACTGGAGAATAAATTCCTCTGATTATACATACTGCACTCTTTTTTAAAGATGGTTCTGGATACTTCCAGTCCTCTTAATGACTCAATTTTGATTCACAGCATTGAAAGCCTTTGATGGAAGTCACAAAAAGAAAAAAAAATTGCAGCAGAGTCCGAAGCAGAATTGGTCATCGAAAATGCTGATGGTTACAGTTGTACACCATAGCCAGTCCAGAAACCTCAATGACCAATAGATCAAATGTTGTGGGCTTCCAGTAATAAACAAGTTGACCGTTAAGTCTTTCCGTCACTGTAGACAGACATGGCAGAATAGAAATAGGCCTTAAAACAGCTTGGATCAGCCTGATCTCCACCTTTAATGGGAGGACTCACTTCAGCTCATTTTCCAGATTTTCAGGCACAAGGGATTTCAGCAGTGTGTAGGGACAAGTTATAAATATCCGTGACGGGAGCAGCGATGACTGGTATGGCAATTTTAAAAAAGACTGGATCCTGCTACTCCAACATATGTATGGACGTGGACGTTCACTGTGTAGACAGATGCAATTACAAAGAACTTTATTATATGGTACACAGCAGAAATATACGCAGTATCTACCTAATCTGCAGAACTGCAAACTACTTCCTCTAAAGTGCATTTTAAAGCAAATTTACCTGAAAAAAGTAAGAGGTTGTTTTTTTTTATTATTATTATTTTTTCGCATCACAGGCTCTGTAAGATGCTGGTCGGGCCGTACAGTTCTCTATCACAACTAGACTGCACTGAACAGCAACCTCGCAGGAGAACAGCTTCTGTATTTCAACCACATTTACTCCATGTACACCGACTGTGTCGATTCTATCTCAGGGCTTTGGAGACCGGTGATGAATTCTCTCCCTGCCGCTGGCAGGGAACTTGACGGTTATTATGTATGACACCTGAAAGACTCGCCAACACATCTGCATGTAGATACACACACTTCTCCCGTGCACATACCAACCCCATACATGCAGCACTCAGGACATGCTGTCACTCACTCCCCTCTCCATCAGTGCAGTGGAATGGCTGCTCTGTACCGTGCTGCCGGCTGGGAGAGTTCAGCAGCGTCTCGGCCCTGCTGGAAGCCTTGAACATGAAGTTCTAGCTCCTGACTCGCTGGATCCTCCTCTAAATACTAATACTGTGCGAGGTGTGCAGGCAGAGCTGTGGGCACTCGCGCGTGTGTTTTACGTTCCCACTTTTGTGAACAAGTGAGGAACAACCGAGAACCTGTGCACTCACGTATCCGCCACAAACTGAGAACACCTGGAAAAGAGTAGAACGATATATATCCACCACATGCGTCTCAGCACATTTACACGCAATGCGATAACAAATGTGAAATATTACTCACAGCCTTGTGTCAACGTCAGTGTATTACGGCTGTAGTCATAAATCCTGAAAGTGCTGCGCAACGAGTAAATGTAGCCACTGTATATAAACATTTACAATATGGCAGCGCTATTTATATTGTCTTCCTTTCATAATGCCATTTGAAGGGCATTTTGGCTTCCAGTGTGATATGGATTTTCTCTCTCTTATTTACCTTTATTCCAGTTATTGCCATTCTCTCCTCTGTCCAGATTGCGCTCCTGCTCGAAAGGATAGGCCCTTCTCCTTTGGCAGTATTTAACACAATGCTCGCCCGTTTCTTAATTATTTCTCATCGCTCCACTGACACTGATTCATGAGGGTAATGTTGGACACACCCCTCTCACACTTCCATCGCTCTCACACCAAAGCTGTTGCACACATTTACTTTCTCTGGGCCTTTCTGAAATTTCTCTTCTCTTATAGTACCTCTATTTCTTTTTTCCCCTCTCTTATTATCTTGTGATTTTCCTGGATGGCTAATGACTCACCATGAAGGCATCTCATTAGCTTCCATGACTGCTCTCAAGTAATTACATTTTTTTTCTACTACAGAAAGAACAGAATTGACTACGGAGAGAGACAACAAACTTCATTACAGCACGAGCCAACCTGAGCCTGGTGTGATATCCTGCCTACAGATAGGTTTGTGTTAAATATAGAGTACAATATCCTCTCACCTTCTCACCTCTCTACAGCTGCAATATTATGAAATATGAACTGGTGTTGGCACAGAATTCACTATGTGAAAGCCTGTATATGTGTCTATGAAAGACAATGGAAGAGGTGGGTCAGGCTGACCCACTGTGAGGAAGAACACTCTGATCACAGACAACTAAAGGTTAGAGTATTACTTCTTACTAATGGGAGACATAAGCTATAAATATTTAATATATTCATGAGTTGAATACAAACCACGACATATGATTTCATTAAATAACAATACCAGTTATTATTCTGTAAACCAGGCACGTGTTGTAATACCCCCTCTCTAGTGTTATGATAAAGCTAAAGGTTTTAACCTGGTAGTTATAAGTCAGTGGTTCAAGATTTGAATTGTACTGTTAATTCATTGCATCTACTGTCTAAAAGTACTCTGGTGCAGAATGCACCAATCCATGACCAGGAAAGTTTCATTCTTCATTTCCGTGTTTGTTAAACCTAAACAAATGAAGAAATTCACACCTGCAACAGACTGAGCCAAAAAGGCTCAGTCAACAAATTCTCACAGCAAAAGACAGTAGGGATTTGGACCCGTCTCCATATGCAGATGATAATATTTTAAGACGATTAGGGTTGTCGGGACAAATCTGTTTAAAAAAAAAATATTAAAAGACCATCAACAAACGCAGCGTGCTTGTACTGTATGCCGTACTCACTGTCCGTTTCTTTCTGCTTTTGAAAATCTCCACTTTGACCGTGTCCTTTGACAAGGACAGAATGAACTTGCAATACTGCAGTGATGTGTATTCTCAGTTACCGAATAATTAAAAGAGTACCAGAAGAAAAGGAATTGGAACTAACCAATTCCCCACCTTCAAGGAAGCATGTTTAATCATCCTCAAATTCCTTTCCTTTCTTTCTTTCTTTCTTTCTTTCTTTTTTCTTTCTTTCTTTCTTTCTTTCTTTCTTTTTTCTTTCTTTCTTTACTTCCTGCCTTTTTTTTCTCCAAATGATAAAATTATTTAAATTTAAATTTTCACATGATCACAGCTCTATTTATCATTCAGTGTTACTGTCTTTGTCATGTTAAAAAAAAACTTTTGACAAATTCTTCTGAAAAATATGAAGCCAGTGTTTGAGAAGTTGACAGAGCAGGGCCATATTAAAAATTTCAGAATGTACAGTAAAAAAAAAGGACAAGGAAGGCGCGAAAGAGTGAAATGAAAAAGAAAAGGCTTAGAAGAAGGAGCAAGGGGCCAGCTCAAGAAAGTGCAAGGATGTACCAAAATATGGTGGAGCTCACTAAAGCTTTGTGTGTGAGAGCTACAGAGCTGGCAGAAGACGGTGCTGCACATGAACAAAAGCAGCTTACTGCCTACCCTGCACGTCAGCTTTCTCTGAGTCTGTGAGAGCCGAAGGAGAAAAGGGTGCACTTGAGGACTCACCTGCCTGTCCTGAGACAGGATCCAGATTTGCTATGTACATGTACAATCAGCCTGCTTTTCTTTTTTTTTTCCTTTTTTCCCCCCAGTCTGGTTTGCATTAAAAAGTGCTGTGTTCGGTCTTAGTGTTGAATGTTCTGCGAGAAAAACACAATAGTTGAAGCCTTAAATTCATAAATAGATACATAAACTCCAAAACATTTAACTGGTGTATTTGGTAATGTTTACACTTTAACATTACTATTATGTTAGCTACAGTAGACTCGGGTTGGAAAGGCAAGAATGGTAAACTTGGATCTTTTCCACCCTGTGCTGTCGTGTTCTTTTTGTATGCGTGGCCTCTGTAGTGCTGATGTGACTGCGGGGGAAGAGTCTAACCCTGTCACTCACACTGACAGCCAAGCTGTCTTATCTGCTCTCTGTTGGCAACGCTGCACTTTAATTAGGCTCGAAGGTCAATCAGCACTTTTTTATTAAAAAGAAGAAGAAGAAGAAGAAGATGGGACTCTACCCAAAGCTCCTCATATTAAGTTTTGATAACGCAAGGCAAACATGGGTATAAAACTCTCTTGCCCTCCGCCCCAACTTTTAGCTCAACATTAATAATCAGATATGTTTGTATCACTAATAAGGAGGAGAAGTCAATCCCAGACAGCTGACGTTGTTATATCTTTGAGGCCAGATAATATTCATTCACTAATTAAATCATCTTCTCCCACAAAGTCATTGTCAGGGTAACAGAGAGGAAGGGGGGGCTGCAGCCAATCCCAGCTCTGATTGGACAAGGGTGGCTGGAATAGATTAAGTTTATAAATTAAAAAAAAAAAGGTAAAATAAATGAAAAGATAAATGTTTTACTGCACTTTATCCACCAGTATCTGTCTAAATCAACCATAACTTATTAGAAAAGGTCGAATTAGAAAAACCTAACAATACTTCATGCCACCATCGTGTTGTACATCATGTTTCAGGGCTGTGTGCTGTGACATTACATCAAGGCCTAGTGGTTGAATTTTAGCCGCTAGTTAGAGGTGTTTTTCAACAGGATATTGGTGTCAGTTTGGTGAATTTAGCTTCCACTTATTGGACCAAGTCTGTTAAAAGAGCACAAGAGCTGGAATAACCAAAACAAGCAAGCTTATTCACAAGATTAGCAATTAGCTTTAACTTAGGCTAACATCTTTGTAGGATCAACAATGCCTAGTTAATATTAACACATATATTTGGCAGTTTGGTGGTGTATGTCGGTAAAGTCACAGAGAGCCATGGTTGAACTGTAGACATTAAGTACCACATACTGTAACTCTGTATGCAAGGCTGCAGTTGCCGCGTCAGCATGCAGTACGTGTGATGACACGGAAGGTAAAAGCTGAATGGTATAAAACGAGAGAGTGTTTTGAAAAATGCTAAGAGAGGGAAAACAGCGGCGATCTGCCTGTTAGCTACATCTCTCCTCATACACAGCACTGCCTCCACTGCCCACCTACACCTTACTGACGACTACATTTCATTGACAACAGCTTCAATATTAAAACTGACAGACTGACGAAACGCTGAGACCAAAGAGTAGAAGAAGCTGACTGCAGACACGTTCTTAGTGACCAGCGCGACAACCGTTTGCATTCCACTCTTCCTGTGTGCTAGCCTGTTGTGTTTTTCCTCCGCTGGTAATTCCCACTTTATCTCCCACGAGGAAAGGCTTTAATGTGGTATGAAAATTATTACCAGCAGAAATCATCCTGGAGTTAACATCAGGACAGCTGGATTCCTACTTTTAGTAGGAATATAAAAATCATACTATAATAGCTGTGAAATAAACATTTTACATCTTTAAAAAATCCTGAGACCGTATTTAGGTGAAGCAGATTATGTTAAATCACGTGGATTTGATGCAAACCTTTAAACCTCTGAAACTCCAGTAGCTGGAGCCACTGCTGTGGTACGTATAAACCTGTGTTAGTGTTAGAACAACCCAAAATACTTCATATGTTAATCACAAATTAAATGACAATATTATGATGTTTTCAACTCAAAAGCTAAAGATCTCATAACTTATGCTAATTATTTAAAATAATATAATGTCTTGTTCACCTCCTGTAGGGACTGTGACCACACTAACGGTAATGACCCTGTGAAAGGTCTGTGCGTCGCCGTACGCTGTGAGTCAATTTAAGATAAAAATGAATGTAACCTTCTCAGCTCTGTTGTATTTGCCAGGTTGAGCTGTGCAAGTGAAATAGGAGGCAGATATTAGAACCGGGGCTGTCGGCATTTCAAATATCAGTTGATGCTGTCAGCGCAGCTTACAGCAGTGAAAGATTATCTGAAAGTTTAGTTAATTTAGTTCATTCATCAGTTTTAAGGGCAGCAGCTCTGTACACACCTGGGAGAGTTTGTCCCCGAGGACTGAAGACATCAACACATCGTGCTTTAAACTGTTTAAACTGTTCATGTAAATGTAAAAGAAATGACACAATAAATTCATATAGATCAAAAATACACTGACTCTATGAAGCAATAATTTAAAGTAAACCTTTAAATTTTTTTTGCCATTTTTCCAAATAAATAATTCCACCATTTTGATTCATACATCTACCAGCTGGAGGAAAAAAGTTCATGGTCACACAGGAATGTTGAATTAGCCCCAAAAATTAGTTGTGTATTATTAATCACGATTAGTCGTGAAACTACTTAACTGTGATTAATCGTGATTAATTCACATTCAGTTTGTAAGTTTCAATCATTACATTACTGCCTGATGGTTGTTTTTAAATATATCTGTCTTACATCTTGAAAATGAATGCAAGGTCAGAGATTATTACGTGACCGTATACACAGCTGGGGCGGGGGCGGGGGGAGGGGAGGGGCAGAGGTTGAATTAGAAAGAAAAATCAATGTGCAGGCTTTTGTACAAAAGGGCCAAGTGCAGACCATCATAGTGACCTCTCCACAGGTTCCCATTCCCATAGCTATGGTTGCTATGATACTGAGTGTCTATAAATAGAGAAAAAGAAATCCTGCAGAGCAAACTCAGTTAAACTGATGATAACTAAAGCTATTTGTTTTATGAAACTTTCCTAAAGTTTCAGAAGTGACAACACGGTTGTGCAGCAGCACTGCCTCACTGACATCGAACCCTTTATGACAATAATGACTGGGAGCTTATGACCACTGTGTCACGACTGCGGTTGTCCACATCCACCGCCTCAAAGTAGTCCACCCGTTTCACCTAAGACGTTTTACATGTCTTACGTGACATATATATTGATATTTAAGCTGTTGAAGTCTGATAGAGTTTGTTTATAAAAACAACTCAAAAGAGCGGGAATTTCATATCAGCCTCCTTACACACAGAAGGTCTAGGGTTCGAGCCCAAGAAGAAACACATACTTAAGCAAAGAAGAGATAAAATGTAGAAAATACATCTTTCCATTATGTGGCAACAGACCATTTAACACCAATGCCATAAGTAATAAAGAGTTATGATCAAGTATTTGTACTGTAGTTAAGAACTACAAAGACATGAAGTCCTCGATCAGAGTTGGTTCCAGAGCTCTGAGCTGGTGCCTCCACTGATCACAGAGGAATTTGCTATACCTTATCCACACATAGACACCAAGGATAAAGGTGTATCAACAACCAGGGAATAAAGGTCTTCTGTCTCCATGGCAGCCACTGATGGAGGCTCTACCCTCTGGGGCTGACACACAATCACATCTGACAGAAATGTAACACGGAGAAAGTATTTTATTTTCTGCTTTGTTGTTAGAACAGATTTTAATATCTACCCTTTCAAACTGCAAATGACTAATTTGGACATTTTTTTAATAATAATTATCAACCAAAACAATGTGACCATTTAGCAGTAGTGTGGTAGGTGAGAAGTGCATCTCCACAAATAGGACAGAAAGTCACACGGAGGGGAAGGGGGCTTGCCCCTTCCCCTCCGTGTGACTTTCTGGACGACTTAGGGGGAGATCTGTGAGAAAGGGTGACAGTGCTAACAAGCTTCACACTTATAGATTTTTTCAGGCACATGTGACCATCAAACAGAGACTTCTGACTGTTTCCAACTTTACTTTTGCAACCCGACGGATTCATTGACTTCTTATGTTTCACTCTGGCATTAGTACCAGGTTAATACATTATAAGTTGGTGATGGTGTCGTAAGATAAACTTGATCTTATCACACAGTCTGCCCAGAACCTCTGGGCTGCTTATCTTAACGCCCAACATCAACTGTGTATCCAGGATTAAAAACATAGGCGGAGTTTGACTTTAGTGTCGGGCTCAGTATGGGGGGCATTTTAACGGCAGTGCCGCCCCCGCAAACTCCGCCTCCGCCAGTTCGTCGTTACCTTTCACCTTCAAAGCATGTTCTTACTCCGACCTAAATTTGGAAATGAATGGGTTCTGTGTGTATTGTAAAGAACAAAATTGGGTGTTTGTTAAACATGAATCTGTGAAAAGTCGGCCAAGGTGAGGGACTACAGAGGAGAGAAAAGGAAAATGCCCAAGAACTTTCAAAGCATGTAGTCTCTGGAAGCAAATAGTCCTTTCCCTTTACTCTTGGCAGAGAAAGGCTTTCAGAGTCCAGGGATTGTGACATATTGCTTTCATTTTATTATTTTTTTTTTCAGTCAGATGAAAACTTGAAAGCCATGGTAACAGCAGTTTAGGAACCACCCATTTCAAAATTGAAGTCTTTTTAGCTGTTGTGTGCTATTCAGACCTCCTGGGATTCTCCAAAGACTTAGTTCTGCTATGGTGATGTCTGGAGGTTTTTTTTTTACTTTTACTTTTACAGTTCAATGTAACATTTTCTTCTTTAACAGCTGCTGCTAAGACCACACACACATCTGACAAACCAGCGCTGCTTCGTCTTTGAAACACTCTTCTACTCCACTGTATTTTTTACTTCCTTCCTTCCACCTTTTTTTCGAAAATATGACTGGAGCTGTGTGTTGATATTGCACTGGTTATCATTGGCACCGATAAGAAACAGTTGAGATTCAACAGATCGTGAAAACCTCACTGAATTTCCACCAGAATAATCAATAGTAAAATAGGACAGAAGATGAACAATAAACCCTTTGATGCTCCAGGAAACCTAATTAGTAATAATTCGATCCACAAGCAAATGTAATGCAATCCAAAAAAAAAATACTGTATAGAGATTCGCACCATGTTAACCTTCTCTCCCACTCTAGCTATCTTCAGCTCTGAGACAATTTAGAGTTGTCCTTAGCTCAAAGGCAGCACTTCTTAAAATACCTTTAGATTTGGTGCACACACACATCAAAGAGACCACGAGCTTATTTTCAAGTATTTTCCAGCCTGAGGCTACAAGCTACTTCTGAAGCTGCTGCATGGCCTGTAAATAGCTTGGTTGTCTGTCCTGAAGATTCCTGCAAGACATCGACTCTAGAGATGTGAGCACGGACCTCAGTGCCTCCCAACCAAAAAAACTGTGGATAATGGTTCGTCCAATTGCTTTCCTGAGGTGTCAATCTGTTATGCTCACAAACCAAACTCAAGTTAACCTACATCTGCCTGAGCAAAATATAAACAGGGTTCTGCCTTTGAAATTTAAAACTTGTCTCTTTGATCATGCCTCCTGACGGAGGTTGTTGATATTGGTCCTTCACCCCAGTCTCCTGTAGACTACATAGACTTATAATAATAATAATAATAATAATAAATGTATTATTTATTAAGTCCATGCTGTAAAACTCATCACGGTGCACACGTATGTGGCGTCTGAACAGGCGAAACTCGACGTCCGAAGCGACATACCCAGCCAATTTTTCGCAATTTCGAGAAAATCTGTGGCATTCACTGCAGAGACGAAAGACGACAAACAGAGAGAAATTCAAATTTCACCAACTTCCCGTGTCCCGTCTCTTCTTTTTTTAAAATAGCACCTATAAACATTAAACATAATGGTTCCTTCACACGGCAGTGGGAATGTGTCTTTTATGAGCACTGCTTCAGTCTGCTGTGTCTTTTGCTTTTGTCAAAAACCCAATCCTTTCCACAGAGAGCCTGTCTTTGTAATGGCTGCTGCCAGCCAGCAATTCTGCAGTGGATAATATGATTCACAAGAAGACTGCTTGCTGTGATTAGCCCTTTGCCTTAAAGCAAATTTGGAAATTCATTTCAAATGTCCTTTTAAAAGCCATAAAACATCCTCAC